CCTCTAAAGTGTGTTTGTGTGTGTGTTGAATTGATAGTCCGTGAATCCAAAAGCATTTTTACAGAAAGGGTTTGTCGTCGTCAGCAGTAGAAGTGCTGCTGGCAGAGTCTGGATGAGACTGGGCAGTCATCTGCTGAGACTGATTAGAGGCCAATTCAAATGTCATAACAGCGACATAGCAGCTGCTGAATAGCACACAGCCACATGAGTCTGCCACATGGCCCACGCAGAGCCTTTAACAGGGTCTGTCCAGTGATCAAAGCTCTTAGTTGATGGTTATCTCCTCCTAATTCTAAATTTATTTAAGGCTTATTGAATTTCAGGTTTAACAGTTGCAGTAACAGCAACAAACTCCAGTCATCCCTCCTTCCTCTGTCCACAACAAAACATCAGCTTAACCCATGACGTTCAGTTTACTTGGAAGTCCCAGGCAAAGAACCTCAAGTGTAACTGGTACACATGCAATGATAGCCATAAACGTGAGCACAAAGGTGAAAGGCTTCTGGGACAACCTGTTGACCCAAGTTTGTGGAATCCTGTCTTCGGGAGAACCAGAAGCATGCCCTTCAGCTTCAGCCTGAGAGATCAATAGTTTGTATCCAAATAATATGCTCTTTGAAGCCAGCATTCAACCTGACTCTGAATCCACACATGTACATTATCTGCCTACCAACCAACTGCACCATTCAAATGCCGCAAGCATTGTGCATGAAACCACTCCTAAAAGTTCTACTTTACTTAATTCTTCTCTTTCCTTTTGCCTGTTTGTCCATCCTGTGGTCACTTCATGCCGTTTTCACTTGACTGATACAGCTAGGATTTGCTCTTGTCTGCCTACTCACTGTATCAAAACTCTTACTATTTCTATCAAAGACTCATGCAACATCCTCCTTGTTGCTCTCCCTGTCACTGAGCTTTCTGTCTCCAGTGTTGCTGGCCATTGTACATTTGGCGTTTTCCCTACTTATCTCCTCCCCCCCAGTGTATGTATATGATGTATACAATATAATTAAAAACAATTCAACATTACATTTTTTATATGGCTGACTTCACTGGCTTCCTTGTCCTTTCTTTTCAGCTTCCTTTTCAGCTTACCATATTTTGAAAATGTCTGCAGAACTTCTTTATCTCTTGCTTTCTCTTTTCCCTTCTTTTTCTACATTATGTTCCCTTCCCTTTAAGAAATCCTCTTTGCGTTCCTCATTGCTTGCTTCTCCCTACTGCAGAAATGCCCTTAAAATTGACATCTCACTCTCTTGGTCCATTAGTACATTCAAGTGCCTCTTCAAAAAACATTTTTCCCACTTTTCAACCAGCATTTTCTGGATGATGTTCTTTTGCCTTCCTCCATCATGCCTTTGATCAGATTGTAAGCCTGAGGACATAGTCCATTTCACTTTTCATTTTTGTACTATGCCTAATGGTCTTAGGTGTTGCTGTTGTCGTGCTTGATAAAACAAATAGTTGTGTTTCTGAGTATGGCTATTTTAAAAAATCTATATATTTCATTTTCTAAAATTCTATCTTCAGTTTTACTCTGGGCACAATCAATCAACCAGTTATACCCTTTGGATAACTCCTGTTTGTCTTAATATTCCTATGGTTAGCTTACAATTTCAAGTTGGGTGGCATTTTCTGAAGCTTCATCGCTGGGCTACCTTGTCCAAACAGGCTGACCTTTTGAAAAAAGCTCTCACTTCTTGGAACTGGCTTGTTCACAGGCAGTAATTGCATTCAGATAGATGGGCACAACAGCAACATATTTAATCACAAGTTGTACCTATGTTTTCCAGGAAAGAACCAATAAAGATCTAGAGCTACGATATTTTTTATTACAGAGCAAGAAGGTTTCATGGTGAATGGAAGGAGGTGATGGAAATGTAGTAGGGTAGTTCATGTATTTTGCTTAACGAGAGTGCCTGAGTTATAATAAATGGTTTAAAAACAAAAACACATAACACACATTTTTGTGTGTGATTATACAGCCTTCTTGAACCCTAGTCCCCACCATATATTTTGGACTACAGCTCCCATCAACATTGGCTGGTGCTGATGGGACTTATAGTCCAAAACAGTTGCTAAGCACTAGGTTGGTGATGTGCAATCCAATATAATAATTAATTTCATTGAAAATTCAGGATCATTTTTAAAAATCCAGTCATCTATAAAATAATGTAGGCTGAGAAAAAAATTAGGTTGACTCTCAAGGTATGGCAGGCATATCTACTCTCTTGTCCTTACAGTCTGTAAGTTCTTTGGTTCCTTTTCCCCCTTCTGAAATGATAAAACAGCTTTTCCCTCCAGGCTTTTAAAAAGAAAAATACCCTGGCCTGGATCCAAAGAACTGTGCAGTTTGTTCAGTGTGACTGGGAGGTATTTGAACATATGTTTTTCAAAACATCATGCCCACCCCGAATTCTGTATGGCAAACCTCTCCTGAAATTAAGGGGCATTTCAAAATCAGTTTGAAGGCATGGCAAGGGGCGGAGGTGGTCTGCCATTGAAAGTAGAAAGTAAAAGCAAACAATCCTGTTGGGTATTAAAGCTGCTCATTGGATTCCAGCCACTAAGTGTCATTTTCAGAGATTTTGTTTGCCCTTCTCGCCAGTGAAATACAGCTTTAGGTGCATTATGATTTCGTGCAAGTCTTGCACATTTTAAATATCTGTGAAACATTGAATCCAAGTGAAATACATTAGTACTCTACCTTTGCTTTAAACCATTATTTCAATGATTGTGCTTGCAGAGAAAAATTGAAAGTGTAGAAAAGGGTGCATTGGACTTTTGTTGTGTTACTCAGTGTAGTATCACTCCTCCTGCTCTTCTGGTCATCTGAGACCATTTCAGAATAGATTTTATGGGTCCAAGAAGTAAAAACAAAAAAACTGAAACAACCTTTGGGTAGCCAGTCACTCTTGAGAATAAACCTTTCTTTGGTCATTCCAGGTTACTTCCACAGTATTAACTTCTCCCAGATCACAATGCCCTACTTCTGTTTTGTTTTACTTTGTGTGATCATTTTCTTATGCATGAGAACTGCATAAGCATTTCTAGGCTCCTTATAGATAAAAGGTTTTCACTCAAGAGTAGACACACTGAAATTAATGACCATGAGCCACTTAGGTCATTACTTACTTAGGACTCGTTATTGATTTCGATGGGTCTCTACCCGTGTGTGTGTGTGTGTGTGTGTGTGTGTGTGTTAGTCAGTTGCTCTAGACTCTAGAGAACAAGGGACGAAACAAGTCCTGTATAAATTGCTGGTGAGACGATTCCTCTGCTTTGCATAAAACCATAATGCGATATTCAAATGAATGAAAGAATTACATCTGATCCACCTATTGTTGAATCAGATTGTTAGTTCAGACATAATGAGAACAAACCTAGGCAAGCCTTAAGTTTTTCCTCTCTCACCCTCCACCGGTGGGGCTGCAAATAGGAGATAAAATGCTCTCATTTTAGATTAACTGCAGCTTGTTGTATCAGCTGAACCTGGATAAGCTGCTGTTCATTTTAACTATTGTTAGTGGGGGGAAAGCTTAACATCAAACCATAATTAATTACACTTGCTTGTTTTCCTTATCTACTTAAAATTAACCACAGTTTAGTCACAGTTTAGCATGTTATCAAACTCTAAACTAAAACAGAAACAGAACCAACTGATAGGAGTTATATAGTAGGGTTGCTGTATTTCAGAAAGTGAAAATCTGGGCACAAAAGTTGTCGCCCTATGCCCAGTTTTCCCCATACATTTTGGCAGATTTTCGGAAATTCTGCCTGGACGCTATTTGCAAAAAAGACAAATCCTGGTTATGTCCGGGAAATTCCAGACATATGGCAGCCATAGGTTATAATCCAAAACTTGCTGAGAAAGGCAATGCTAAAGGTAAAGGGATCCCTGACCATTAGGTCCAGTCACGGACAACTCTGGGGTTGCGGCGCTCATCTCACTTTACTGGCCAAGGGAGCCGGCATTTGTCCGCAGACAGCTTCTGGGTTATGTGGCCAGCATGACTAAGTGGCTTCTGGCGAACCAGAGCAGCGCACGGAAACACCGTTTACCTTCCCGCTGGAGCGGTACCTATTTATCTACTTGCACTTTGACGTGCTTTCGAACTGCTAGGTTGGCAGGAGCAGGGACCGAGCAATGGGAGCTCACCCTGTCACGGGGGTTCGAACCGCCGACCTTCTGATCGGCAAGTCCTAGGTTCTGTGGTTTAGACCACAGCGCCACCCGCGTCCTCCTCTCCTTCGTAGCCCCTCCCTTTTCTTGCCATTTTCTGCCTTCCCTTTCTCTGAACAAATATAGCAATGAGGCCAGACTACACAAAGAGGTAAAACTTGTAAACATAAAGAAGAATGAACTTCCAACTATTAGGATGCAACAAACATCCTGACTGCACTATTGGGGCAGTTACCTTTCAAGGTCATATAAGATCAAATTATAGCTTTTTGTCTGATGTCTCCTTCATAAGGTTTTAGAGTGACAGTTATATCATGGAAATAACAGGAAAATGCCCATTGCTGGAGAGGATTTTCTTTTCCCATTGGTGTTTGCAGGTAGGCTTTTCTGAGATGAGAGGGAGAGAGACAGTTCAGTTATCAATCATCCCATTTCCTGTCTCCCTTGGCAGGTACCTAGTTAAATTTTTGTTTAGACAGGATTTGCTATGCCATCTCCATTTGCTGCTAGAATGGTTATGCTCTGACATGACATACAACTGGAAAGCAACTTATATGAGTCATCTGAAGCCAGACGGTTTACAGCACCCCAGACACCACAGAGATACCGCAGCATACATTGGTTTGTCCTCTAATCTGTGCTATAAGGTCCCCTAGGCAAATAGGCTTTATTAATGTTTGGATTAAATACAATTGAAAAGTAGTGTGTCTGGTAATTTTAGTAATACACTGTTGGGTCTAGGCTTTTTAAAATACGGACCCAAAGGGACTGCTCTCCTTCACTCCCTAACTGTGTGTTGTTGTTTTTTATATTGCAGGGCAATAATAATCAGAAATGGAGAAGTCATTCCAATGTCTTCAGAATTCACTCCAGAAACAGAACGTCAGCGTCTTCAGTATCTGGTAAGGGCCTAAAGATTTGGATTAGTGGGTGGTGGTGTACATTGAGCTATCACCTTCTCAGCCCTTATCTGAAATGAAACTTGTACTGCCCTTCTGGAACTATATTGTTATCACACACTTCAGCCAAGAAAGGCTGAAGAAATGTGGGTGAAAATACCCTGCTGTCAGGCTTACAGGCTTACATCCAAAAGGAAAAGGAATTGGGACGGAGGAGGAAGGAAAAGCAAACTCGGTCACGATTTCTTGTAATGACTAGCCGTAATGGAAAGATTTTCAAGAAGAGGAGGAACTAAAAGTTACTGGTCTTTTAGCAAAGCTGATGGAGAGATGTGCTGCCCCATTCCCATCAGGCTGTAGGAAAGGGGATCTGCACTACATTTTGAGTTGGCAAGTAGGTATTAGGGCTGGTTGAGAACTGATTTTCAATATTGCAATATACCACCAGCTGAACTTCGTGATATATCGATATATCATGATACCTGAAATAAGGAAGGAACTACGCAGAGGCAAGCAGGACAATGTCCTGGCAATTGCTACTGCTTAAGGGTCTAAAGACAGCATCTTAAAAAGTAGTCACTTTCAACAGCAGGCAAGCCAACATGCATCCAAATGAGACTTTTGGTTTTTGGCTTGGCTTCCAAATGGTAGTGAATACAAATAATTTGAGACTGCCAGCAGGTCTGCCAGGAGGCAGATGCAGCAGTGGCAGAAACAGCTTGCCACGACCCTGGTACGTTTCAGCAGTAGCGGTGACAACCTGCAAGGCCTTGTGGTGGTGATAGAGAGTGACAGCAATAGCAGCAGTGGCCTGTGAGGACTCATGGCAGCCTGGCAGTCCAAGATTATTTGTATTTGACTCATCACCATACTCTGGATTGTCCTCATTACCACCATTTGGTAGCCAAGCCCCAAACCAAAAGTCCTGTTGTGGTGCATTTTGGCTTGCCTGCTGGTGAAACCGAGTATGTGATTATTGATAATATAGTCATTTATCCGTTTTAGTTCCCTAAGTACTAGCAGTTGCCAGGACATTGTTCTGTTCGCCTCCGTATAGTTCACATCCTTACTTCAGACATTGTGGTAGATTGCATTGTTTAGCTGGTGATACTGTTAGGTTTACCTGGTGGTAACCTTGCAATGTTTAGCTGGTGAGTTATTGCGATGTTGGAAACCAGATACCGCTTAGCCCTTACACACATTGTCATTGGCGATATATTGCCAGCTCAAATATTATGAAACAAGTATCACGATGTGAACTTTTAACCCGTTTTCTATGATATATTGATATATCGCCCAGCCCTACTTGGTATCAATAATAGTGATACATTTAGGCTTGCTCTGAGAAAGGGTACTTTGGATCTTTCAGAACTGATAGCTCTCCAGAATTAGCAGATACTGGAAGGGTAACCCGGCAATGGTCATCAGCTGCCATTGTAGGTATAAGAAAACACGTACCCTTTTGTCAGGCTGTGGCATCTGGCCTGTGCCTTAAATTCCACCAGTGCAACTGGCACTTCAGGCAGATGCTCCAAACCAGCCTGTTTCTCCCGGTCTCTGAAACTTGACTTTAAAACCAGTGTGTCGTCATTAGTGTCCTCTCCCACTGTGCCCAGAAGCTGATGGGGATAAGCTTGTATAGGCCAGCTGGCCTTTCCTTTCTCAGAAATGCTCGCTCTGAGTAGAACAATGCTTCGCTGGCTATAAATGCCGAAAGAAATGTGTGTGGTTGTGGTGATTGCGGGGAGGCGACTATATTCTTCTGTGCCCTGATTTTATTGCTGTTTACATTGCCAGAGTCTGAAACATTTCAGAGGGAAGAGCTACTTTTGGAGTCTCGTTTTTCACAGTGATGAATACAAAGCATCTGCAATAAATATTTATGCTGCCTGCATTTGCAAAAAAAAACCAAACCCCAACGTGTTTGTCTTTTAAATTAGCAGGGATCTGTAGCATCTTGAGAGTGGGGTTTCATTTGAAGAAAGCAGAGATAAAACATTGCCTGAGAGGGTCTTTCCCCCCTTCAGCCTCTTTTGATGTTCATTCTGGTTAGATCTGAAAATAGCATCCGCCTTGAAAAATATTTATGCTACTTCCCCTAACTCTTTTCTTTACCTTTGTTTGTTTACTGCATCTCCATATGTAGCAAATGCGCTTGGGTTATGGCTATCACGTTCAAAGGAAGTAGGTGGGAGATACCAGAAGTGTGAAACCACATTAGAGAGATCCTTTCAAATGCACTGGAAGTAACATGTAGAAGATAATTTTAGGACCATTGGTATTTCTGACCAGTTCTCACCTACTGCTGTTAGGTTTATGACTACGCTTGGTTTGTGGTCAGGGGTTTCAAGTACGGTACTCCTGCAATCGATGATTTCAAAAACAAATGTCAATACTTCTCCCAAGAGTATTCTGTACCACTTTTTAGATTTAGCATTTTTCACTCACGCACTTCTCCTTGCGGTTGTCTAAAATTGTTATAGCTTAATATTGACAGAACATTCTGCAAGGAAGAAATACATTTCAGAAGTCCTATCCTTAGATTTGATTCTCTCCTCTCTCCATCCCTCCCCTTCCCTTCATATTTAATCTGCTTCTTTTCTTTGGTATCCTATTAAAGCAAGGTGCATGTGACTTGTTTCTTAATTTAATATTTCTTGCTAAACAGTTTGAGGATTTCTAAATGGAAAGGCAGGGTATAAATATTTTAATAAATAAAAGTGATTTTGTGCATATCAAAATTTATTTTTTTCAAATTGCTACAGGGAAGTTCCTGAGTATGTTCCCGTCTCCTCTTCCATTTAGCAGTTTCTGAAGAAAGCACATAAGATATTATTTGCAACTTATATATAAAAGCACTAAGCCTGTCCACAAATTGAAATAACAGTTTAGTTATTACAAGAAAAAGAGAATATTGTATTACTTAGGCTCTTGTCAACAAGCAAGAGGAATCTCAAATAAGCCATTGAATCTATATGACTTGCATCAAAAAAGTTAGACCATAAATTTCTAGTATTTTACCAATCCCAGTTTTAGAAGTTGCTTTCTGTGTTCTAAGCTCTGAGCCATCTATGACTTATTTCCCACAGTTCTTCCATCATGGATTTGCATATTGACTCTTGTTGCAAGGAGGTCTTGTGGTTTTTCATCTTCCTTTTTAAAAAAATTAAATTTGTTTCCCAGTTGGAAACTTTACCCAGCTTCCTCCAAATTTATTATGAGCTCCTATTACAAACACTTGATAAATTAGCAAACTTTTTTTAAAAAATAAATTGATTTGATTCAAGTATCAAAACAAATTAAAGTTAACTATCTCCATCCCCCCAAACATTTACCTACACACACAAGCAAACGTTTTCCCCAATAGTTGAGGCATTTGAGCAGGATTGATTTTTAAATAATACAGTTGTGCCTTTGTTCTCGAACGGAATCAGTTGCAGAAGTCCGTTCGACTTCCGAAAATAAAGGCATGGCCTCCGATTGGCTGCAGGAGCCTCCTGCACTCAATTGGAAGCCGTGTCGGACGTTCGGCTTCCAAAGAAAGTTTGCAAACCGGAACACTCATTTCCAGGTTTGTGGCGTTTGGGATCCAAAATGTTCGAGTCAGAAGGCGTTTGAAAACCAAGGTACGACTGTACTACAAAATAGCTCTTTAGGTTTGCTTTAAGCACAGCAACTGTTTTTAAAGATCAGGAAAACCTTTAAACTGCCTTGGTTGGCTTAGATGAATTGGAACCATTCATGGAAAGCTGAGGGTATCAAAACTCCTGATGACAAGGCTGAACTAAGCAGATCTCCGGGTAATTTTGTTCGGTTTGCTTCATGCAAGCGTGTGCTGTCCATTATTTCAGCGAATGTACTGATACTCTGACAAGTATGCAGATAGCTTGCATGTTTCCTTTAATTTGCTCATTTGCCGAGGACACTCAGGTTAAGCCAAGCTCAAACGCCATGTGCTTGTTCTTCTGTATTTAGCGATACAGCAGTAAACCAGAAGTTAATACCCACATTTTATTCTGAATGGCACCACATCTCAGAATCCCCATGTAAAGCAGGTACTACGTAAACAGGTGGGGTATACAGGTAAGTTTATATAAAAAAACACCCCAGTATCTAGAAGCCTGAGCTGTACATGCTGTGTTCCAGCCTAGAACAGACCCATGTGCAGAACAGACGGCTGACCCAGTTTAATTTGATGGACTTTGATTGGACTGAATCCAGACATCCTTGTTCCCCTCCCTCCCAACAATTGGTCAATAGGACCTAGAAAAGCCAACGGTGCTGACAGTACAAAAGGCTAGAGCATTGTGCATGGTAGTAGCAGTGATTTATTATACGGTTAAAAACCAGCATGCTGTATCAAATACAACAAACAAAGCAAATACGAATAGGGATGAAACAAAGTAAAATAGAATGGTAGGCAAGCAAAACTGAAGATGTAGCAATTTAAAAGAGAAACAGGAAGTCTGTGTAGACCCAGTAGGCGAGAACAACTGGCGTATCTTGTAGGCTGATGCGCAAAATCTTGCAACTGAACAATTCCAAGTTAGAACCTCTGGGCATTCCTTCAAATAACGGGGCAATTATCTTTATATCTTGGTAGCAGGGGCAGCGTAAGAGAACATGGCCTATGATCTCTACCTCTCCATCATTACAGGGGCAGAGCCTTTTGTCTAAAGAGATTTTTCTGTAGCGCCAATCTAAAATGGCAGTAGTGCATGCAGAACTCGAGGGCCAAAACTGGTGCCAAAGGTGATGGAAGAGCCACATTGCAATGCCCACCCTCAACTAAGTACAGTACCAGGTTTTATAGGCAAGTTGTTCTGAACTGCAAATAATTGGCAGAAGCACAGCCGTGGTGTAAGTTGAGGACAGAAGAGGTGACAAAATGTTTTTGCAGTAGTTCAAAGGTTTGAGGGTAGGGAGGGGGAGACTTCTTATCCAGTGGAAGTTATTGAAGACTTTATAATAGTGGGCTTCTGAGATTTTGTTCATCATTTGTTTACAGTTGCCACCTCTCCTTGAAAGCAGAGAATAACAATGCAAGAGCTCCAATAATGATTGTCCTCTTTCATTTCCCCCTTTTTAATCTTGTAGGCATATATGCAGCCACACTTGCTGGGAAACGAGTTTACACACTTTGAGTTTCCAAGGAGGGTCCAGAGGAAGGAAGTTGGGAAAAGAATGCTCTACAGAGACTTCAATATGACTGGCTGGTAAGAACGCCTCCTGTTTTTTAGAGGGCAGCATCCACACAGCAGTTTGTTCCATTTCCCCTGCATTTCCCTAACACAGGCATAGGCAAACTCGGCCCTCCAGATGTTTTGGGACTACAACTCCCATGATCCCTAGCTAACAGGACCAGTGGGCAGGGATGATGGGAATTGTAGTCTCAAAACATCTGGAGTTAATTTCTGCATTATATTTGGGCTTTCATGCAAAAAGCCACTTCTGGAAAACTAATGGACCATAGTGCATGCACAGCACTCATTTCCGGGATATTTGATTCCAGAAAGAATCCGTTTGCAACCATCTTAACTTGGAAAAATGTGGGAGTAAAAGTGATGGAATTTGGGGCAGTGTATATAGTATATAGTTCTTTGCTGCTGTTTTCCTGGGGGAATTGTGGAAGAACCAAAGCACACACGTATTTGGAAAGGGTGGGTAGCGACATTGTCCAATGGCATTTGTTGCTTTGTCACAGCACATCCCGTGATATGAATGAAATTTAGTGTGACATGTTAGCAATATCGTTCAAAAAGCCATAGTTCCCTAATTCTGCATCCCATTAGAAAATTTCAGGGGGGGGGGGAGAGACAAAACTGGATTATTAAAACTATTTTCCATATTGTACAATTTCACATCTATGCTAGATGGGACCGATTTGAGGTGATGCTGGTTTCTTTGTAAACTTTCTCTTCTCCTGGGCTCTGGAACTTTTTCAGAGCAATAGGCTGGCCAGCCTGTATAGGTTTGCTGAAGGTGGTACTTAATGCCCAGGACTTGCATCATCCATTTGGTCTTTGGGTTGGTTCAAGGCTGCTACTCTTAACTCTCTTCAAGCATCACCTATCACTGTAGCTGGTGACTTTGTCAGGAATTAAACTTACTAGAGTGTTACATAGATGGGAGAGTGATGCTTATTATCCTCAGTGTCTACTTCCTTGTGACACCTACTGTGGCTGGCATTGTAGTTACGGAACACAGTTTCTTGCAGGACAAGAACCTGAGGTACCTCATACTGAAATTTGCCATCTGGTCATATTTAGTTACATTTTAAAGTCCAAGTACACTTTATGTCCTTGGGATTGAAAGCGGAAATAGGACATTCAGAAAAAAGCCTGAATTACAGTTCTCATATGACTGTATTAAGTACTTGGAATGTTTCCCATGCCTTTTCTCTGTGGGCCAGCTTAAACCTTTCCAACCAGCAACATAGGAGCAGCCTGAAATGTTGAGGAGTAGACTCCAATCCTCAAAAGACTGTGCCGCTTCAGAATGAAGATTCTCTCCCACATCAAATATTACTTGAACGTGGAAAGCTATAGATGGTTCTTCTTGAAGTTCTAGCTTTTTATGTTGAAGTGTAATCCAAGTGTAAAATTCTCACAAGTAGAACGTACTTTTGTGCTCTTTCTGAACCTTTTGGTCATGTTAACGTTGGGTTTTTTTTTAAAGGAAACCAGACTTGTTTACAGGATACCTCTTGAATATTTCCTTTTATATACTCACGTTAGTTTCACATGGAACAGCAATAGGCTGCTACCAGTTGTGGCTGATGTAGCAGCTGCCACCGCCGCCGCTGGAGGATGATTAGAGAAGGGAGAAAGTACTTTGAGCAACTTCTGTGGCTTGTGCACAGCTTTCATTTTCTGTACTCAGGAAATGCTTTGTTGTGATACATACAGTCAAACCTCGGATCCTGAGCGCCTCCGTTTTGGAGCGTTTCAGCCCTCGAATGCTGAAAACCTGGAAGTGAACACTCCGGTTTCTGAACGTTTTTCAGAAGCCAAACGTCTGACGCAGCTTCCACTTGAGTGCAGGAAACTCCTGCAACTAATCGGAAGCCGCGCCTCGGTTGTGAAACATTTCGGAAGCCGAACTGGCTTCCGTAACAGATTACGTCCGACAACTGAGGTTTGACTGTACTTGTTTTGTCTCAGCTAGCCGCCTGACTGCTCTTTAGGCCTTATAATATGGCTTATAAATCTCACCCTCTTTTTTTTTTTTACTGAAATAAAATAAATGCCATGATCCCAAAGGGATCATCTTTGGAACGCAGAAATCTTCTCTGTCGTGTTCAGCTGCAGGCAAAGGGTTAATAGCCAAAGCCATGATACAGGTTGCCATATGTCCTCTTTTTCCAGGACACGTCCTCTTTTTCATGGGTATGTAAAATGAGAGTCGCCATAGTGATCTATAGTTAAAAGTAGAAGTCGGCAAATGTGTCCTCTTTTTTTGCTCTTCAGAATATGGCAACCCTAAGTTGGTAGGAGTCAGGTGGGTCAGCCGATGCCATTCATTTGTCCCCAGTGGCTTTGCTGCTGTGTTTCTCTTAAGCTTTCCTTGCAGTTAGCTGGCAATGTCCATTGGGTATCTATGTATTTTGGTGTATCTCTCCCCCTCTCCCCCCCTCTCATCCACGCACGCACGCGTACACACACATACTCTGAATCAAAGGCTGGAGTCCTAAGGGGACCCTGCAATGTTTTCTGCTTTCACGGAATGATGCCTGTCAAGTTAGCATTGTCCTTCCTTCCTTCCTGATAGAGCAGGTATTCAGGTCTCTTGAGTATTTGATTTTAACAAGCAGCTGCATTCTAATCTTGCTTCTTGTTTCTTTCTTTCTTTTATGCGCGTTTTCTAATTTTGTCTGGGGTTGACATTTTTCATTTTTCTCTTGCAACTAGCACCAAAGCTAGTCTGTTTTAATTCCAGTTGGCAAACAAACAAACAAACAAACAAAAAACATAGTCCCAGAGGAAGCCCGCTAAACACAGCAGCTCATGTGTGCTTTGCATTGTGTAACTTGCATGTTGCGTTCAGCAAATGTTGTAGCTGTGGGCTCTTCTTCTTTATTGCTCTGCTCGGTGGCACTTGACAGCCCAGCCAGGCAGTCTGGCAGAGCAGGGGATAAGTAGATTGAGAAATGCCACAGAATAGTTTATGAAGCCAACACCAGATCTGCACTGCCTCCTCCCCTCCTCTTTAATATAAATTGATTTATTGAATCAAGTGCAGAAGCCCTGGTTCCAAAACCTTAGGCGTTATCCTCCAGAGAGCCGCCTAATAAAAGAGGCCCAACTGACAGTCCTCATTAGCTTTGCCACAGATCCCAAGGCAGTATTTAAAGTGGCAATGTCCCTTTCCCAGACCTGGATTTATCTGCCAGCCAATGCCGACGGGCCTAATTAGCTTGCTCTTATTAGTCTTATTCAGATAAGTGGTCTTCTCTAACAGTCTGACTCCAGGGTACAAAGAGCAACCCACAGCCTGCCTGCCTTATGCTTCCACCTGCTCAGTTACACCTTGCTTTCTAATTCGTATAATTCTCATGAGCTCCCATGGAAAATGGTGTCTCTGTGTTTAGCTGGGTTTTTTTGTTTTCCTTTGTTTTTCCTAGTGAAACATTTCAACTTCCAGCAGTGATCATGATTTTGAGAAAGGGAACATATATCAAGTGTGTAATTAAACAAGCCCTTTCCCCCCCTCTAGTATGTGATATATATTTAATCCAAGTAGCTTTTGTGTTTTTTTTTATAAAATATAATGGTTATGGAGACAGCAGACCTGTTTTAGGGAGCGGGGTGGTTAAAGAAAGATGACTGCTGTGTTAATCTGCAGCTACCGACAACAGAAGGAGACAGAAGATAGAAGCGGAATTAGATTTAACAAAAGCCCTTTGCACGGGTACTTTTGGGTTCCTGGCGTCATGCGCCCCAGAGAAACATAGCTCCCTGTATTCTGTTTGTAACACGTTTCTGGAATGATAAATGGCTGTTCACAACATGCATGTTCTGCATCTTTTCAAGATTTGCAGCTCTGGCTGCAGGAACAGCAGGGGAGGAGATCTGACCTGCTGTGTACAGCACATCTCCTGGCAATGACAAATGACTCTTCTTTCCCTAAGTGCACACATGCCAGAGGAACAGAGCCAGTGCTGTTGGAGCAGGGCCAGCTGGAGACAACAAACAAACCAGAGAAGCCCCATAGTCACCCCCTAACTGTGAGGGAAAGAATAGCAGGGGAAGATGTGTTTTGGTAGTCTGCTTTTTGTGATTTTTTGCATTGCCTTATCAGTTTTGTTGTAACCTCCCAAGATATGTTTAGTGTGTCATTTCCCTCCACATTAACACAGGATGACCTTGGAAATAAGTACTTTTAATTGGTACCTGAATATTCCTAATTATTACTGGAGGCCAGTGTGGTGTCATTACTAGAACATGCAAAAGGCAACCAAAATGGTAAAGCAACTCCTGGTTAGCCAGTGTGAGAATAGGATGCTGGACTGGATGTTTCACTGCCTGAATCTAGGAGGCTCTTCTTGTGTTCTTCTGTGTGTGTGCTTGCTTGAGAAAGTCAGCTCCATATTCCCATTCAGCTATGGAGCCAGCTGGGTGGTCTCGACCACTTCCAGCTTCACCTATCTCATTAAAGTAGTGTGTGGTCTTGTGCAACTTGCGCAATTTTCTATTTTCCTCTTCCTATAAATTGTTGTCACCCCATCTCTTTCGTTATTGGAACCTTGCAAACATTTTAATGTTGCACCTATCTACCTACCTAAACAAGTAATACAAACAGAAGCTAAAGTTTTGATCTCACAGTTGAGGTCTGCAGAATTCTGGTTGATCTTTTTATTTGTTAAACTGAACAAGTATGTGTGTGTGTGTGTGTGAGAGAGAGAGAGAGAGAGAGAGAGAGCGCACAAGTGAAAGAGAGAGAGCGCACACGTAGCTGCAGTTGCACAAATCCAGGCTTAAACAAGAAACCCAAAATCAACCCACAATCCTCCGATCAGGAAGTGCATGTGCAAATAATATTTGGTCCAGGACAATGACTAAAAAAACTGAAATGGAAGTGTCACACAAGAATTTCAGACTAGGTTCACTCTAGATTCCATTTATTATGCTCTAATATATATAATAATGCCTCTGTGTGAAATTCTTTTATCTGGAAGTTGTGTCTCTTGTACAGAGCTAGCCCATGCGATCGCATC